CCCCCCAGGCTTGCTATAACCATACACCGGCTATTTCCTCAAGACACTCTATTCTTGATACCTTTTACCAGTGCTTATCCTACACTACGGACGCCCTAGTGTGTGCACAGTCCTTGTGATGCTTACCCCTCGTTCCGGCTCAAGGCATACATAAGCGGGGGGTAAATTTACCCCCCAGATTTGCCATAACCATAAGCCGGCTGACACTCTACTCTTATACCTTTTACCAGTGCTTATCCTACACTACGGACGCCCTAGTGTATGCACAGTCCTTGTGATGCCAGAAATGCCTACCCCTCTTTCCAGCACAAGGCATACATAAGCGGGGGGTAAATTTACCCCCCAGATTTGCAATAACCATTTCCTCAAGACACTCTATTCCATATACCTTTTACCCGTGCTTCTCCTACACTGCGGACGCCATAGTGTATGTACAGTCCGTATGATGTCAGAAATGCTTACCCCTCTTTCCGACTCAAGGCATACAAAAGCGGAGGGTAAATTTACCCCCCAGATTTGCCGATCACGCATCTTCGTGCCTGCCAACGAGTGCACCCGGGTTGTTCCAATGTACCCTTCCCAGTCAGCGATGTCACATTTACATTCTTTAGCGCAAAGTATGTACATAGCAACCTTCCTCCCAAAACATGTAATCCCTACATGCTTTGCCGACTATGTAACTAGTACATCCGGTGCGATTCGGCTAGCTTTCGACCTCTCCCCCTGGCCTCAAGTTGGGGATTCTAAACCAGCCAGAAACCAGAGCAGTCGAAACCTGGAGGGAGTGCTCCCCAAGCATTACCTCTCAGGTGCCCAGCTTCAAACTGCCCTGGAGAAGTCCCAGCGTGAGCTGGGACAGGCGGTGGGGGCTCCCAGCGTAGCGAAGAGCTTGGGAGCTTGGGAGTTGGAACGATGAGGTTGTCCAAGTGTGGAATTCACACAGGAAAGCCTGATACTTCGCAGAGAAGGACAGCAAGTGTTGATAAATCATCAAACTTTCAGATCTCCAATGCAGGTCCTTTATGTAGTCTCTCGACTGGGGGCCTGTGCACACAAAGTATACTCGGCTGTGCCTTAGCATGCAAGGGTACAACCGAACTATTTCGATGGACTTGTTCAGAGCCCCTCTTGACATGAAATAGTACGAAGACGAGGTTTGACGAGGAGCTCACTGTTGATGTTTGTATTTGGAAATTGTACAGACATCCTCGTTCATGGAGTATATCAGTGTCATAGTGAGTGTCATATGGATGCACAGGACAAGTCCCGAGGGCCCTCCCCCAGTCACAGCAGCCAGAAAGAGCCTGGTCCTAGTGTCGTATGGTTCCGCTTCACAGCTAGCAACTGTTGATGGCCATTGATGCGCTTGCGTTCTAGCCATCTACTTGTTGGTATATTGGCCAGATAAGATCGGTGCCTGGACCCTTTATTTTGGGGCCCGAAGCCAACGCAACAAAAGGATTCGGATGCAAAAGAAGAACATCGAAAGGTTTCATACTAAATTCGAGTTATCTATGAGTATGGAAGAACTTGTTGTAGGAAAAATTGAATGGTCTCCACTTTCTCCCTGGCGTAGTATGTATATATGTTAGGTCTTTACATGGGCCCCGAGCCCTGCGACCAAGTCAACGGACCCATCATGAGACAGTTGTTGGAAGTGAAAAAAACCTCAGGAAGGGAACGCAGCATATTACAAGGCCAGGACCCGGGAGTCGTTGTTCATTTCTTTTTGGCGTTGGCAAGGGAACATGTTCACTCATTGATGTAAGGTGTCTAAAGTCTAGCCCTTTCTATCCCTGCCGCGGGAGTGACATTCCAAGCTAACTGCAGAATCTTCTGACACGCTTGACCCAGAAGCGACTCCGCAGGTCTTGCTGGAAGAATCTGGAAAGGTCCCACCCGCCGGGCGACTCCGCCGGTGCCGGAGATGTGAATCCGCTGAACATGTGAAGACATCTCCTATAGATCCTATATCCTGTGAGGGTCAGTGCGTTCGGAGTGCGGTCACACAGGATTCACCTGAAGTAGGGTTTTTGTCAAGACCAGCCCGATATGGTGGAATAGGTGGTGGAATACGGTAGTAATGCCCTTGTTACTACTTAGTAGCTTCTTGCTACTGTAGTAGTAATGCCAGGAGCTAGGGCTAGCCTCTTGTTACTAGTAGTAATGCCCTAGTAGCAACATGTATATAACACGTTCTATCGCTCTTTGATGGCTTTTGGAACGCCGTCCTTTTTACTCCGATGTGCCACGGTGGGAGTGCGTCGGGCATCGGGCTAGTCAACGGGGATCTTGCAAGGTGGAGTCTCACGGCGAATTGGGAACACTCTCAGGGAACGCCCCTGTTTTCCGAAATAGGTCAGAAGGAGAAGAACGGTTTTCCTCCAGCCGGTGGGGGTTATTTCAGGGGAGAGTGTGTGCGAGACTATTTGTCATGACCTTATTGTTCTTATATATATAACTCCTCCCACCTTGCATGACCCAACCAAAAAGTAAGCCCCACTGCAAAGATTCAATCCCACCATGGCACCATGGCAGTCACAAGCTTTCCGAATGGCACACCGGGCCGAACTTCGCTTGGCTCTCGAAGCTGTTTGCAACGGGACGGTTGGCGGGACGGGAGCAGCTCGGTCACGAGGCGTCGCCAAGGGCCGTGTGCTTGAGACAGCATGGCCAGGGGGCGCACGCCTTGGATGTTCGACACGTCTTTCTTTGGAGTCAGGATTCCTGAGCCGTATAGACGTATAGAAGGAGTCGAGCTAATCATGCTGGTGGATGTTTCCTCCATTGTTGAGGACTTGCCTGAGAAGGTGCCAGACTCAGACAACATGGCGCTAGGAGTGCACAAAGAGCCTAGGCCTAGGCCGCAGACTGTTGATAGTATATGTAGCCCTCGGACGCCTGCTAGATCCGGTCAGGTTGGTGTGGTTTTGCTGTATCCCACCCGCCCTTGCCCCGTCATCCCATGGCTTCACCAACTGTTTGGCCTACCTCCATTTCATTGCGTTCCTGCTTCCTGTTTCACATCGCTCATCTTTACTTCGTCTCACCCGCATGACAGATCACTTGATTTGATTCCATCAGCTTCAAAGATGTTCTTGAGAATGTTTGGCCTTCATACACCTGCCACACACACATAGGACCCGTAAATTCGATCCGCAGCTGACCTGACGGTCTTTTATGAAAACAGTTGTGAATACTAATGTTTGACTCAAGTATGCATTCTCATTATCATTTGTTCGCATTCCATGCTTTCCCATTTAAGGATACCTTCGCCCTTCCACCTTTGTGAAGTTGCCCCACCCTTCAGTCCGTGAACCAGCACCAGGCCCTGCTCCACCATGGACACAGCGGCCAAGGCGGACAACCAAACACACCAAACAAATCTAAACAACATGCTCCGGTGTGGAACATATGCCTCTTTGATCCTCTTTGCAATTTAAGTTCAACAAGTTCCATGTGCCAATTCGTGCTCGTTCGACTTGTTGGGAGACGTTGAGTCCTTCGGGGATGTCACGCCACCAAACAAAACCATTTGTGATCGCACCTTGCAGATGTTTTTTGCCCAGGCACGGGCCAACATGCGCTTCAGTAACTATGCCAACTCCATTGGCTTCGGCCGAACTCTGAGTTTGGCGGAAAGGAGGGCAGCAACAGCATGCAAAAGGGATATCCAAATCAGAGTTGGCATCGGGCCGGCGCAGACAAACTCCCCACACGAGTTGCACGCATCAACTCCAAGCTTTGGTGGCCGGACGCTGCAGCACTAGGAATAATGGTTGGTCCCTGATCTGGGATAGACCCTCATGCAGCATGCAGGTGACCTTAGGGGCCTTAAGAGGAGGATTTTTTCCCTGTTGAGGGAAAGGATTTCGCACTCAGAGCGCGTTGCAGAAGTGTCCAAAAATAGCCCAGGGGCTCCAGGTGCTAAGCGAACAGAGCCTGGAGCGCGGGTGTATGAATTCAAACCAAAATGCACTGAGAATATGCCTGAGCAGACACGGATTCTCTTGAACGGCGTGGAAGAGCTGGATCAGAGGTGTGCCGGACCACAAATTTGGAATTCATATCATTTGGCATCAGAGAATTCGTTTTTCATTCGTCGAAGTCGTTTTTTCTCACATGTTCAAAATCCAGGTTTGAAGCAGCGCCGTTCTCCCCCACGAACCTTGCCGATCCTTAGATCCTTCGGCCCTAGCGGTTCCAATGGCCAGCGCCTGGTCCATACCAAGCCATCAGCTGAGACATCTTGAGACTGTAAACATCTCATCGGTCCAAATGGCTGTGGATCTGTGCCATCACGGTGCGGCGGTTTTCTCAGGTGAGGAGACACTGGAGAGCCTTTTTCCAGAGGTGGGAGGAATTCAAGAACGAGCGAGCGAGGGCGCTCGCCAGCAAGTGCGGGCGAACGATCCACTCATTGACTTAATTTTTCGAATTTTTGAGCTACCCCACAGAGCCTGGTGTTTCTAGAGTTTCAACACTAAGTGGTGCCCAGCAGGGGGCTAAGGAGCTGGGGGCATCCATATTCTCAATTAAACAGGGAGCCAAGGAGCTACAAGGAGTTCCCCAACCCTTTGCTAGTATAGGACGTCATTACAGGACAAACAGCAACCTCAAGTTGATTTTTTCAAAATCGCCAAGCTGTTCTAATTGAAGGTCTCACTGGGAGATGCCTTTTGGGCTGAGTTGCTATTCTCTACAGATGATGGGTTCCTGCTACACTGATCTGATCGACCAGCAGACTAGCAGCTGACCAGTTTGGCGAGGCTGAGTAGATCGAAAACAGCAAAGAACACCGACTGAATTGTGGAAATGCATGCATTCTGGGGGACCGTGAGGGTATTTGTATAAAATTATGTGATGATTGATAGATGCAGTAGTGAAGTAGTGGTTGGCGGTTGGGCAGGGGGTTAGTGGGAGGTTCCAAAACCCCCTACGATGATATTATAACTGTCATTATATTATATATATATATATGTATATATATATAACTACGGAAGTGGATGAGTGAGCACATGTTGCCCTCACCTGCTGCAGAGAATCACAATCTCCCGAAACAGGAGCGATTTGGATAAGGTTTAGTTTGATCTTTTCAATTCTCAGCTTGGAGAACCAACAATTCCTTTTTACAATCGCAGTCCTCAGGAACCTCACTGGTGCCAGGCCACCGCTCCGGTCCCACCGTTTTGACCGGGGCCCAGGGGCGGCGCCGCATCGTTGGTAAGCAACCCGCGACGATCATGAAGACGCTGCGGGCGCGGGAGAGGGGACATTTGGAGCAAGGGTTGGCGAGGGCTTGGCGGAAGGGCCCGGAACAGCAGGGTGGGCCGGTGGTTAAGCCATATATTAAGTTATGATGATTCCTTTCAGGTGATACTCTTCAACTGATTGCCTTGGTCCTTCTCTTTTTTTGTGATGCGGTCTGAAGACGGGTTCTGGAGTTTCTCATGCTTTCACATTTCCATGAGGTGTGGTGGTTCCCCATCCCAAACTTGCCTGCATCTACCTTGGAATCAACACGGAATTGCGATCTCTCTCATCACAGGGAAAACCAAGAACATCCACGAACCCATTTGCCCGCTATTGGGTGAACCAAGCCACCGGACCGGGAGGCGCGTTTCGGCCGCAAAGGGGATTCTTTCGACTTCCGGCTCGGCGGTTTCAGAGAGTTCTTGCTGTGTTTGAACCACGGCGCCATCCGAATCCCAATAGTAGGCCAGGCGCACCACACACAGTTCTTGATGGAACTTCAGTTATTATACGGTTACGCCATGAACATATATGGAGGGCGGCCCAGGGATAATCCTCCCGGAGGTAGTGTATAATTCCTATTCTGTCCGTATGTTTGGAGGCGACAGGCGGCTCGGCATATTTAAATGTGCAGTTCCTTCATCATTCACAACAAAAAACAGCAGGATTACCAAAGCGCCAAAGCCTCCATCCCACACCCCTCCACAAAGCGCCCCAAAAAAGCCCACTAGGTCACTAGGGGAAAAAGAGAAGCAGCAGGATTGCCAAAGCGCCAAAGCCCCCACATGGCGGCAACCATTCGTGTAGCCACACCCCTCCACTAAGCCCGCCACATCCACATAACCCCACCAGGCTTTCACGCAGTCACCAAACCTCGCGCCCGCCAAAAAATAACCCAAGCCAAAGCCTTTATACATGTGGCAATCAAGGCCCCCACAGAAGCTCCAATCCCCACAAACTCTCCTCCACGCAGACAAATTGAGGCCTCACACGCCCAAAGTCGCCATGTAGCTCCACTAAGGCCCACACGCCCAAACCAAACCCTCCATGTAAGGCCCTCCCAGCCAAGCCCTTTGCATCACCATTCAGGCAAGGCGTCCACATAAGCCCCAAGGGAGTCCCCAAGGGATAAACCGTAACGCTTCCACATACACTGAGTAAGCCCGCCAAAGGCCTCCACCTAAGGCCAGCCAAGGCCCCCACGTAAGGCCAGCCAAGGCCCCCGCGGAAGGCATAGTTTATTCTAGCACTGAACCGTATATTTAGTTTGATCATTGACTCATCCCCACTTGCAGTTCACCTTCATTTCCTTGGCCTTTTTTCACGGGCGCGTGCCAGGGGCCTTTCTCTGACTACTCGGGGCCTGCGCGTGAGAGGGTGAAGACCGGCCGCGCACGGCACCCAGCTGCAGGAGACGGCCGTCACCGGCCACCGTCGTTCACTCATGTTCGTTCTCTCCATCGTGTCATCGTGTCATATGCGTCATCGTTAGGCAGAGCCTAAATATAGTACCTGTAGTGTTCGTCAGAACTCGCAAGAGATTTCTATAGAAAAATGGTCGAAGTGAGACGGTGAGACGTGAGCTTACAGTAAACTTCAGGAAGTCAGTGAGTCTCATGGTCGACGAGACGTGAAGGGCCAAAAAGATCCACCCAACGGCCACTGGCCCTGGGCTCGCGTCGGACGAGGCCACGCTGGTGCCTCGTGGTCACTACGACGTGCCTGGGCCAAGTAGTGTTCTTGGCACGTCTCGCACATTTTGTATTGTTGTTCTCTTTGGGGGTGCGGAAATGGCGAGGTAATGTTAATGTTGTTGTTGTTGTTGGCGAGGATTCCATGCAGTTCCAATTTTCATACCACCTAAGTAAGCGTGGATTCCAGCTAACATTTCTCGTGAGGGGTGTGGCCGGGAAGCAGCAAACAAACGTACGAGTATGGGTATTTTAAAATCTCCCGACCCTGGCTGGGTAGACTGGTCTTTTTCCCAAACTTTGGGTCGAACTGGGAGGTCCCCCTAATATATATATATAGTTTTATATATATATATATAATATATATATATATATTTACATGTATATATACACTATGTCGAAAGTTCACTTACCGCTATCCCCCAACAGCCAGAGCTTCATGAGATGAGATGAGGGTCTGGGGCCCACCGCGTTTCAGAGACCGTGCGTCGTGGCTGTGGATCGAAGTGTGGACGTCCCGAAGGCCACTCGGCTCAAAAGCGACCGGGATGCCCAGCCGATGCCGCCGAAACCTCCCAAAGAGATCGGTGGCGGCCACTCGTTTTGATTTGTGCCGCAGTCGAGATCCGCCATGGTTTCCGCAGGTGTCTGGCGCAGGGGGCCAGGGTCTTGTCCTGTCCAAGCTCATTCCACCTCGCATTTCCGTTGCCCATCTCAATTGTCTCCCATCAAGGAGTGAGTTGCGTGTGTCCAAGCGAGTTTGCTGAACCTTAATTAAGCTCCCCTAGCAGGTAGAAGGCCTTGGCTAGATGAAGTGAACAATTTAACCCTTCCCAAGTTCTTTCCGTTTGGGGGGTTCATCAAAACAAATGTTTGAATCAAGAATTCTTCATCGGTCATGGTAAGGGAGGCGGCCGCTGTGGCTAGCTGCGCAGCTGCGCACTGGAGTGCAGCTGCATCCAAGGACGCTTCGAGATACAGAAAGCCCTTGGAGCTGGATGCTTTGGACAAGTATGGAAAGGCCGGGAGAGCTGTTGACGTTCTGCCAGTATTTTTTTGGGCAGACAGGGATCAAGATTGGCCGCTCAAAGCAGAGGATCCAGCAAAGCAATGGATGCCACAGATGTGTTTTGCATTTCGATGTGGCACCCATAAACAGCTACAAAAATTGATTGGAGAGGGTTTCCTAATGTTTCCTATTTCCCAGCCATATTAACATGACTGGCATTTGTCCCTCGGAGGAATCATGGTGAACTGACTTGTTCCATCCACAAGTTGCGAACTTGGGAGTCCAGTTCTTTTCGCCACGTGTACCTCGTGAGGCGTTGACAAAACCACAAATGCCGCTGGGCTGGACCGATGCGGAAATCGTTATGCCTGGAGAAAGACCAACTCCAGACCGTCCACGCGCTGCCGTTATTGGGCAACTCAAAACCTCCTGGCAAATCCAAGTGGCACGTAGTGGCACCATTTCTTTACAGAACAAGAAGCTACTAGTTACAAGGGCATCGCTACTAGGAACAAGGGCATTACTACTATATTACATTATATTACTACTAGTAGCAAGGACGCTACTAGTAGCCAGGGATTTCAGGGATTCCTCGCATCTCAGGTTTCCCAACGGAGGCTCGCTCGATCTCAGGAAGTTGTGGCGATCAAGTTCGAGGACAACCAAGCGAAAGGCTCTCCCAACCAGCTGAAGACGGAGTATGCTTGGCGCCCAGTGGGGACTGCATGGCTGAGGCGGTCGTTTCATTTGTAGTTGAAGTCAAGGAGATGAACGCAAGGAAAACATAGGAAAACCCTGGATGTCAGATGCTGCCCAAAAAGCTCCGAAATAGATAGGAAAGTTAATCACCGAGAAAATCCATTTGCAAACACAAACACACACCCATATAAATGTAATACTTGATAAGTATATATACACACATATATATAATATACATATATATATGTATGTATACTTATATAAATATATATATGTGTGTGTGCGTAGAATATAGAATATATAGACAGCAGAAAAATGTATTTCCATACGGTTCCGTTTATGAGGCGGACTCGAATTTGGCTGCCACAAAAATGGGCCGAGTTGAGGGTCAGGGGGCATCTCTTGACATCGACTGGCCTGCTTGAAGTTCAACAAGCTCGAAAGTGGGCTCCAACCGTTTGACCAACTAAATCCCTCAGAAAGAAGGGAACATTCCAGCCATGAGCAAACGCGTTCTAGCGCGTTCTTTTTCAGGGGTCATGAGCCTCAAATATGTCACCTGAAACTTTAGTCTGAAAGGAGATCTATAAATAGAGGCAGGCCCAACTAATCGAATTGATACATCCAGCAAGCACTGCCAGGTGGACCTGGTTTTATGATGTTTTGTGGAATGTGCGTATGAGTTGTTGGATGCCATGACCAGCAATGACCCATTCTTCTTCTTCTCCCGTCCTCCTCAGAACGCGTGACTTTTTTTCGCTTTCGCAGGACACGCTCCGAATCGTCAACGCCTCGGATTCCAATGTACAAGGCTTCTCGAAGGCTCACTGGCCCCTTGGCTGTTTCTAAAATTTTGAGGGAGGAGGCCGGCAATACTGCATTAACTTTACCTCCCCAATAGATAAAACCCACTGGATTTTTTTCTGTAAGGGGGGAGTTCAGCTCAATCTATATTTCATATATAACCAAACCAGAAGCTACAACATAGGCAAAGCAGTTCAACCAGGGATGGTGAGGATAGGGACCCAGCTTAGACTGAGTGTAGCTTTGGTATTGTGACTCTATTGCAGCCTGGCACGTTTGATGCTTCGATCCATATGGCCTTGGGCTGAGTAGTTCACTGCCACAAAGGTTTCTCCGCATGACTGGTACCAAATGTGCTAGATCGCCGACTGAGGTTCGGAATCGAAGGACGGTTTAGTTGCTTAGCCGGGGCCCCAGAGATGGTTAGCCTGATGGTCAGCCGCTGAGAAAATGCTCTTCATGGGGACGCGCGTGCCTTACGCTTCATGGGAGGGTCAGAATATCAGCTGATGAGAGCAGGACCAATCGGCTTGGCTGGGCAATGCCAAGTGCGCGACCAAGGCTATGACAATGCTTGGTAGATCGCTCGAAGACCGCATGCAACAGTGCGGCAAGAAACTCTCAGCACAGAGTGTGGCGCCTTGGCTGGCACAAGTGTGGCGGTGCAAGGGCACGAAAGGTTTCCTCTTTCGATGCAGGTTGGCCAGGTTGGAGGTCCGTTTCCTGTCCTTCCCAAAGGCTCTCGGGGATGCCTCGCAGTCTAACTGTCACACCTTGGCCCATCCCGTGAGATGATGTGGGATGAACATCCATTCAGCTGATTTGCTGTGAGATCACCTGATGGCCCTTGGGGCCCCAAGCCTTGGGCGATCGCCATTGGCACCTGCCTCAGCTGAGGTGCTCATAGCAGATCAAGTGATCCGGCGCATGGAGTTCCTCCATTCAGTGGGCCTAATCCATCGGGTGGCCTGGCCGCGTGGCCATGCCGAGCCCAGAGGGAAGCTGCACGACGAATTCGTCCAATGGAACCACAAACCCATTACACATCCATTACACACACATATATATATATAGATGGATTTATGATTTATGTAGTGTAGATACATGTAGATACCATGAAGTATACCATGATTATCGCAGATGAACTCATATTTGACCCTCGATGCTTGTCTATAGATCTATCTGACTGCTCCAACAAGGGTCGGAGTAAGGCAACAAAACAACACTTGAAAGGATGAGACTGTGGGCATGCGGGCATCACTGGTATCATGTATGAATGGTGCGGCATAAGGCTTTCTGGGATTCATGGCCAGAGGTAGATTGGGCGAGCACCGTGCGTGCCCAGGACATCAAGCCCGAGAATTTTATGTTGCTGTGGATGCAAGAAGAGGGTGTGAACTGGCATTTTGTGCTTTGCTTGGGTCCATGGGAGTGGCAGTACAGCGTTGATCTTCCATTCTCATTCAGTATCACACTGGACCGCTATCACTACCAACTTTGCCAACTTTCAATTCTGAGCCTTTTTTCGAAGGGCACTTAGATTGAAACAGTCCGCTTATGTGTTTTCATGAGGGATCTTCGTTTGGAAGGATGCCCTTACGAAGCCACACATGAAGCTAAATACGAAGCCACTTCGTGGCTCCACGAAACACTGAGTCCCGGCTTTGAAGGTTTGGCGTTGGAAGCCGCATCCATATAGTCTATTTGATTGACTTCGGCCTTGGTCGAAGGCTGGGCCGAGATAGGCTGATTGAAACTTTTGGAATGTTCGTGCAGATTGGAGCTGGGTGGACTACATCAAAATTAAAAAGACATTTGTTTGTTTTTATAGACTAAGTGTGCAAGATGAGTCTGCTGGAGGTTTTTAGTTTTACTTGGTTCTTTCGTATGCATGCCATTTTCTTTGCACTCTTTTTTCCTCATGTCCTTTTTCAGTTTGTTTGCCAAACTGATTGGGACGCAATCAGAGGGCATGGGGTCAAAACCACGCAGTAGCTCGCCCGCAGATATTGGCGAGACCAGCAGCATGCCCCAATGAGGAGCGGACTGCGTCGGTTCCGCGACTTCGGCTGGTGGGCGCTAGAGTTTCAGCGCTCCAGGAAAGGCCCTTCCATTTTTGGGTTCAGCAAACACTTATATAATGAACCAACAAGTGACATCAAGTCACCAAAAGCTGGCCTTTGAAGTTCACCACGGCCCAGGCAGTCAGAGGCACATGGCCATCAGCGTCTTTTTTTTGCCAGGGGATCCTTCGTGGAAGTTCCACACTGCAGTTAGGTTGATATAGGCTGCAACATGCCAGAAGGATCCAGAAGGAACATATTTTCAAGATAGAGGAGATTGTGTGACAGGAGATTGCCTTGATTTTGTGGAGTGCCATGTCAGCACTGGTGTGGTTTACGACCTTGAAGCCTGGCAACCAAGTGGTTATGCTCCGGTTGCGGAGTGTGCCCGGAGGGTGGCAGAACCCGACATTACCAACACTCCCACATTGCCACACGTACACTAAAGATAC